AAATGGAACTGAGAATGCTTGAGATATATTTGGTCTGAATTCCTGGCATGAACTTATGCTGAAATCACGGAACGAAAGAGGGTTTTCAGAAGGTCAGCGCGTAAAGTTATCAGAGGTCAACAAGCCGGATATTACATCTCCAGCACCCACCCATCTGACTTCATGGCTACCTGCTATATTAGACAGAAAACCGTCCCAAAATTGGACAGTCGTTAACAATTAGCCATTAACAATGGCCATTAAGAATTAGATACATTTTAGTCTTAATATTTTCGCTTCATTGTTTGTTTGGTTGTCCGCAATCAAACTACCCATGAAGTAGATGATTCATGAAGCAATGTTTTCAAGATAATATATGTACTCAGTATGGCATCATTCATATAAAGATCGCGCTTGAGGGTCCTTGCTGTTATTTATCGGTTGAAGTGCAAGCCATTTGAAACACTGTTTATCTTTTTCAGCTGCTATAAACAAAGAAAAATATACATTTTTAAGATAGCATCACTTCCACTGCTAAGTATTCATATGTTTTCTTAATTAGTGTATTCAACTTCAGCTCTGTTGGGACGTATCGTGAATTTACTGCTAGATTTTCACGACTGGAAAATTGTCTATTTGAACAATGACTTGTGATTTAATCTCGGGGAAATAATTATTTATCACTTCCTCTGCCTACAATAAAAGGTGGGCTATTAGTCATGAAAATATGCGTTAAAATTTGAGATTTTAAAGGATAAGCATTTTACCCATATCTCATATAATGTTAATAAGACTGCTTTTGATTTTTTTTTGGGGGGGGTTAGGTCATTTGATGAATTTTTTTCTCTATGTATGTATGTGACTTTCTTTAATTTGTTGTTTTGGAAAACTATCAGAAAAGAAAATATATGATGCGTAATCGATAAATAAAGGTTGTTTTTATATGTAAACCATATATACAAATTGCTCAAGAAATGTGGCAATTTGAATTTTATTTTCAAGCATTAATTCTAGGTATATATTTTTAGTTATAAAATTTAATAAAATAATTAAGAAAACTCTATAAAAATTATTTCTAATGCAATTAGCATACGAGTTCTAGAATATTAAATTATTATTTTTTGTATTATCTTCGCAAAATAAAAATTTCTAGCTAATAAAACAGTCGTTATACTTTAAAGAATTGTTAACGAAAAACATTCGAACTTTAATGTGGAAATTTTGCAGAGATATTCGAAAACAAATTTGTGGACAAAGATTAATTGTCTGTGCCTATTACAAATGTAATTCAAGAGAGTTAAAAATAAATTTAGATATGATTAAAAAAAATATTAATTACCCTTTAAAATATATATGCAATCAAAAAATGAATGAATAGTTACTTTAAAATACATATACAATTAAAAAACAAATGAATTATTACTTTACAAATCGACTTTACAAATGAAAATTACTTTACAACTGAAAAATATTGCATACACAATTAACAAATTAACGAATTATTACTTTAAAATGCGTATGAAATTAAAAAATAAGTGAAGTGTTACTTTGAAATGTATATACAATTAAAAAATAAATGAACTGATACTTTAAAATGCATATACAAATCAAAAATGAATGAATTAACACTTAAGAATACATATACAGTTAAAAAATAAATTAAATAATTCTGTACATATGCAGTTAAAAAATAAATTAATGAATACTTTAAGATGCATATACAAATAAACAACAAACTAATTAATACATTAAAATACATATACAATTAAAAACTAAATGAATTATTACTTCAAAATACACAAACAAGTAAATGTATCTTTGATCATTTTGCTCATTAAGATATGAACTTTTTATTTTTAGCTCAAAATGCGTCCGATTTGTAATATGCAAATAACCAAAATCCACAAAATTAGTCCTAAAATTGTAATATGACTGAAGCCATTTCTATTCAAAAGGAAGATGGATAGATAAGTTGTTTTAAAGACTGTATGAAAGCTGAATTTTATCAAATCAAAAACTGCCGAATTTCTATATTAGTAAATTTAACTTCAGGCTTCCGCTTAAATGATTTTTTGTATATGAGAGATACTTCTCATAAATTTAGTCTCATAATTCTTAGCTATATTTAGCTTATTTATAGGCTTCTGCATAAATGATTTTTTGTATATGAGAGATACTTCTCACACATTTAGTCTCATAATTCTTAGCTATATTTAGTTTATTTATAGGCTTCCGCATAAATGATTTTTTGTATATGAGAGATACTTCTCACACATTTAGTCTCATAATTCTTAGCTATATTTAGCTTATTTATAGGCTTCTGTATAAATGATTTTTTGTATATGAGAGATACTTCTCACAAATTTAGTCTCATAATTCTTAGCTATATTTAGCTTATTTATATACTGTATAAGTTTAATGATTTTAATGATTTTACTGCCGTAAATTGTGACTTAAACTTTTAGATTTAAATGGACTTATCGCTATGTCTAAAATTAAAGTAATGAAACCTGAGAATGGTGTAAAAGTCCTTTTTTCTTTAAACTCAAATATATGAACAGCAGGCACTCCTGGTGCTTTCAAATCCGGCAGCTCAAGTTAGTAAGTCAAATGCAAAGCTAAATTTAAACAACGAACAGCCAAATAAGAGCCAGATTTAGACTTGATAAAGCCCTAAGCTATTTGAGATATGGGGCCCTTTATAAGTCTGTTATAATATATTTTAGTACTATTTTTATATAATTAAATTTTTTGGGCTCTCCAAGAAAGTGGGTGCCCTAATCTATAGCTTATACGTAAATCCGGCCCTGAGCCAAAGGCTACACAGAGCAATTTACCTCAATTTACCTTTATATTAGAATAGAGAAAAACCTAGTAACATTACATTTCAAGGGACTCTTACTCTGTATTTTAATAATCTCAAACCTTCACTTAAATACATGCGAACTAATCTTCATTCTGCGAAAACGGTAAGAGAAAGGTGGCTATAAGGATTACAAACACAAAATAACTGTTATGTAAATTAAACAAACCTCACGACTGTTCCTCCAAATTTTAATTAATCTTGTATCTGATAATTCTGATCATATGAAACTGATTTTTTTAAAACCAATTCAACTACGAAAAACATTAATTCATAAAGACAGATCATCTGGAAAGGCTTCACTTTAAACAATCTCAAAATAAATTAGACTGTGAACCAGGATTATTTTTAATTTCTGATATATTTTCCCTACTGAGACCATATAAGTATATAAATTTTGGATTATTTTACTAAAAAATATCATTCTATCAAAATAATCTTTTAATGGGAGTCTTATCTCATTTGGTCCATTCTGAAAGAAGAAGCATTGTATTTATCACTCAAGAAATACAGGGTGTTTATAAAGTCCCGGACCCATTTTGATGTTTAATAATTCATAAAATAATGAAGATATAAACAAACTTATGGCATTTATTGATGAATAACTTATATATTTTCCTTTTCAGGTTTGAATCTTTACTTTGTAAATATTGCCTGCGCGTGTGGTTAATTTCAGAATTTCATTTTTCCAGTCTAAATATCTGTACTTTTCTAAATATCATCTGCTTATTAATTGCATTTTTCTCTCTTTTGTTTTTTTGGCGCTATTTGCAATGTTATGTTGCTTTTGATGGGTTTGTTCTAGACTTTTGTATGTGATGTTTTATTCGACCGGATATTAAGGAGAATGCATACACCACAAGGAAAGACAGATTTTATGGTGTTCATAGAAAAGAAACCATATGCAAACACAGAGAAATTGTAGAAGATTTACCAAAAGATCCTCATCCAAAATCAGCATCTGCGATGGAAAAGAATTTTCTAGTAACTGGAAGCATCGCAGATAAGAAACGTTCCGGACGTCCCTGCAGTGATTTTGATGTTGAGCGTGTCAGAGAGACATTTTTACACAATCCTAGAAGATCTGTGAGATCAGCGGCAAGAGAATTAGATGTGCCAATTTCGACAGTGTACAAGGTTATTAAGAAAAAATTAATACGGCATGCATACCAAGTTAAAATCGTTCAAGTTTTGGAACCGGACGGCCTAGGAGGCCTAGGAGGATGGCCTTTGCAACAAATATGCTAAGACGACGAAGATGATGCTGAATTCTGAAGCGCAAATATTCTCCGCGAAAATCCTTTATCTTTCTGGATTGTAATCGCATAATGTGCGCATAGGGGATTGAAAACCCCATGATACCCTGTGAGGCCCAAGGATGGTTTAGGGTGGTGTGTCAATTGTGTAATGTTGGTGTGAGTCAAGACCGGTCTTGGGTCTTTCTATTTTACAGAAAAGACGGTTCATCAGTCGTATACTTAGACATTTGGAAAACTTCGTATTTCCACACTAGAAGAGCTTCCGCCACATGTTTTTTGCAACAAGAGGTGCACCCCCTAAGGGTAGATCGTTGTAGTTCTTTGAATGACCATTTTACAGGAAGATGGATTGGCGAGGAGTCCAATTCCTCGGCCACCCAGATCACCTGATATAACGCCGCTGGACTTTTCTTTGGGATTTGTAAAGACAACGTTACAGGAGGAGAATGTCGAACTAATGACCTAAAAGCCAGAATTACAACCGCAATAGCTTCTGTGGATGCCGACATGCTTGCTGGTACCTGGCGTGAAATTGAATATCGACTTGATATTCTCCGTGCGACGAAGAGGTCACACGTGGAAGTTCATTGACAAGGGTCATGAAACTTTGTGAGTCTATCTAACCATTTATGTTATTACTTTTAATCTATCTGTATTATTTTATGAGTTATTAAACATCAGAATGGGTCCGGGACTTTAAAAACGCCCTGTATTTAATCGTGGTCTCTGAATACCCCGGAGAAATGTGATGAAATTTTTCACTTTCGATGCAATTTGTTGGATAGTATGCGAATATGATTCTGTTGTTTAATTATATATGTTTCTAATGCAACTTTCCTCAAAATGTTTAATAAATAATTATCAAAAATTTAAAAATAAATTGCATATTTTCTTTTCAGATTTCTCTAACAGATATGGCAACAAGTAATGATGAGAGATGGCATTATATTGCTAAACTAAATTCCTTTTGTTCTCACCAACTCGTAAGTATACATATTTATTATACAATATGAAAATGCAATTTTTTACGCTTGACTAAATTACGTAGGAAATACCTACTTAATGAATTCGCAATTTAATTTTCATAGTTACAATAACGCTAGCAATAACAACATCTAATGTTCCGTATAAATGAAAGGTCTTTTAGTTATTTATTTCTATAGAAATCAAATTCTTCTTAAAGAGATTGAACAAAGACACATAAAAGGGAGACCAAATAAAATAATTTACTAAATCATAACATTTTCTTTCTGTTAAATTTCGCTTATGGATTTAAAAGGCCTCCAAAATGTTGTGTAAGATGGTAATCATTTCTTTCGTTTCCGAAACTATAGTCGTCGATCAGGCAAGCGTAACTTAATAAAAATAAAATTTAAAATATAAACAAAAATAACAAAATCAGAAACCATATACTAATCTAAAACGCAATAAAATAAGCAATACTTTTGATTTATTAAAGAAATACCTTTGCAAAAGTTGCGATTTTTGCGAAAAAGACAGCCGAACTATTGGTATTTATCGTAATTTGGCAAGCATTATCAACATAAGAAAATAAAATATTTAAAAACAAAATTTAAAATACAAACTTGAATTTATAAATAAGCATTATATGATAATAAATTTACATATTTATATTATATATTATTTTTGATCTCTGCATGTACACAACGATATACGTTTTCGCTTACAAAATTCACAGAACTGCTAAGATTCGGCATCGTGCTCAGTTTCGGTACTGCGCACATTTTATATATATATTATATTACATGATACGTTATTGCTTTTCTTCTCTTATACACAGCGGTTTATTTTCGCTTAAAAAATTAAATAATTGTAATATCTTCGTACAGCAAAACGATAGTTAAGGTTATCAAATTAAAATCATAATCTAACAAGGAAATCGCCAAATTTGGCTAACTCACATATTTAAGTTTGACGAATACGTTCGCCAAAATTTAAATTCGACAAAATTTAAGGAAATAGTTTATAAATATATCTATTTAAAAATACTCGTATGAGAACACAAAATACATTAGATGATTAAGCAAACAAATTTCCACGTAAAAAGAGCATAAAGTTGCCACCCCGAAACAAAAGTTTCCAACTGCAGCGACTTTTTTGAATATTTTGTTTTACAGTTTGAATGACGTCACTGCAAGTGTTTCTCCCAACGGCGAAGCAAAAGCAAATATGATTTGCATTTTATTTAAGTGAAAAATTTATTAAAAGTGATCTCAAATGATTTTGTTAAAAAATCATAAAATAGTCAATTTGTAAAGTACAGAGATGAAGCAAATTATACTATAAATAAAAGTATCTTCGCTTTGAGCTGATATAATATATTAGCTAAAAATTGTTAAAATGACATAATAAATTTAAATTGCAGTAGTCCCTTAACTCTCCATGTTTTGCAAATAAATTTATTTCTCTTTTCCATCCTAAAAACAGTAACTGCTTGTAATAAATCACTCTGAACTGTCATAAATCGCTCTGAAAATTAATCCATGTTACGTAACACTTACAGTACGTTTATGACGCAGATGCTCACACAACGCCTCAGCCATTTGGGAACCAAAACTTTTAACAACTAAAAAGGATTAGTCTGAGCTAAACTGAATTCATTCTGAACGGGGATTTCATTTTGAACTGGTCAAATTCTGAAAACCGTAAAAAATCCAATTTAAAAGATAGAGATTTTTTAAATTTGGAAGACTTTTTTTTAAGAGAAATGCCTTTATATGTTGATATGAAATTTGAAAACTGAGCAATGATGAATTGTCGTTATCATTGTGAACATCCTCAAATACTCGTACATTTTCACAAAATGTAAAATATATTAAAACTAGCAGCTTCGCTGCCAGCCTTCGTCTGGCTTTTAAATGTACCGGAGAAATGGCTGAAGGGAACACCAAACGTTAAATTTAAAACCTGCGTAGAATTTTACTCTGCAGAACAACTTCATAAAAAAAGTTATTACGTATAACAAAATTACAATGAAATAAGCAATATCACTTAATACAAATATTAATTATCCTAATAAATAAATTAACGAACCTCCGTTTGCAAAATCTTAAGAACTCAAATGGTATAAAGGAGGTTATAACTTTGTTTCCTAAAAAAATCACTCAAAACTTTTCAATATCTTAAAAATAGTGAAATGAGCAATAAATAACATAAAAAAATACAAAAAACAAAAATTCTGTAAAGCAAGCATAATAATGATATTTTATCTTATATTTTCAAGAGAAAAAAATACAATGAAATAAGCTATATCTCTTAATACAAATATTAATTATCCTAATAAAAAAATTAACCAACTTTCCATTGAAGAAACAAAATCATGTAAAACTTTTCAATATCTTACAAACAGTGAAATAAGCAAAAAATAACATGAAAGCAACTCAAAAAACATAAAATTCCGCGCAGAATTTTACTCTGCAGAACAACTTTATCAAAAAAATCAATAAAATTGTATTATATGTATATAAAAATGACAATGAAACATGCCAATCTCTTAAAAACAGTGACATAAGAAATACGATGAAAAATTGTTGCCAAACCCATATTCCCCTAATGAATGATCCCTAATGAATGATCTAAATGAAATGAATCGAATTTCGAAAAAATCGCTTCGAGGTGCTCTGGCTCTTGTCTAGATGCACCTATGTACCAAATTTCGTAGCCGTGGGTCTATTAGCTTACGCGCAGCGCAAACGAAAGACACACACAGACTCTTTCTTTTATTATATGTATAGAGATTGAGTTCAGATTTCGAAAGTTTTGAATTTGCTTGAGTGCAGAAATATGTGCAGCTAAAATATGGTTACTAAGCATCTGTAACTTTACAGTGCGAGGAATTTTATTCGTAGCCTCTTCGTTTATCATTATATCTCAAGAGCGTCGAATGAAGAATATTAAAAGCAGACTAAAAAAATCCGATTTGTTAAGGTTTTTTACTCTCTCGCTGAGCTCGCAGTCTATCTGTCTGCTGTTACACATGCTCCTAATAACTTTTTTTTTCCTTTTTAGCTTTATTATTAGGCATCATTTTCTTTGCAATTCACTAACAAAATTACAGAAATGTTAAAAGCAGCATAACAGTATGCGTTTAGAATTCTGGATGCAGCATTAAGCGTTAGCATATATTTTTCTTTGTTTTTCAGTCCTTTCTCAGTTCATCATATCAATGTTCAGTTTTCTTACTACTTACTTTACAAAATTCTTTTTTTAATCTTCTTATTATTAACGTTCTACGTGTTTGTTTTATTTATTAAATATCACGTTGTTGGTGCTTAGATTCAACAGCGAAATCACAAAATATTTAAAAATTAGCAAAACAGCATATGTTTAGAATTTTTGATAAACAGTCTCGCGCGCTGGAGATAAAAATGTTTTATTCCGTCGTTGCTAGTTTTGAAATCGTTGAGTGTGCTAATCAAAAATTAGTCAAAGCATTAAAAAGTATGAAACAGATAATAAAACAAATCTGAAATTCAAAATTCTGGCTTCCAAGTGCCCATGTTCGGGTGGAGGGTTACGTTATTCAAAATTTGATAGTATTTTTCACAATGCGAGAAACATGCATACATCCATGCAGATTCTTCATTATTTAGTTTTCCTTTAAAAATAATACAAGGCGATAATATGTGGTGGCAGCAATTTGAAAAATAACATGCCTTTTATAGTGATTCAATCAAAATGCCGGTTCGAGACAGTATGTACTGACTGTGACAAAAATAATTTTTAGTAATTTCTACCCAAGATTATGAACGTTATCAGAATTGAAACACCATCAAGTGTCAAGCTGTAATGAGAAATAAAGAGGTTTATAATTATTTTCATACGAATGTTTGTATTTTTGTTTATATACCGAAGAAAAATTTAACAATTAAAGGAAATAAACTAGTTAGTCATGACTTATTCTCAACTTTTACCGCACTCGGAAAATTTTCAACTAGAAGATAGGAAGTTTTCATATTTTTTTAATTTTACTTTTAGTTTAAATTAAAGTAAGTTGTTTTATGATTAATTAAATATGTAGAATTATTTGGAAAAATGTCAGTCTGAAAATTTAATATTTAACTGTCAGTATATTTAAATTAAAAAGTGTAAGCATTAAAATTGTCCTATATGTACCAAACTTTAGATTTCAGATAGAAAATAAATACAAATTTGATTTCCCCCCCTGTGCGATATTATTATTATTGTTTATGTATATTTTGATAAAAATTTAGTATGAAATATTTTAAATTTAGTTTTTTTTTAATAAAAAAATTTATTTTGTTAAAAAGAAATCTGGTCCATCAATTGTTTTCAGATCGTGCGTTCGGCTCTCATATAGTTTAAGTTTCAGATCACTGTTCTAGTGTTTATTGTTGCTGGCTGCCATGTCATTCGGCTTGAGTTCGATCCTGAAGAAGTCTTGAATGTTTATTAAGCATATAGTATCTATGTGGCATGGGGGCACTTAATGTACCGGCGATCCAAAAAAATTTTTAGGAGGATAGGTGGTAGAGGAGAAAGGTTGTGAGAGCCTCGGATCCCCCCCCCGGAAATGCTTTCTATCAAAACTGGGATATAACTTCTCGCCGGTTTAAAATCGGTTTCTCTTCCCCCTTGTGGGGCACTTTGGGAAATATTCGCCATAACGAGACGGCTGAAAAACGGTTTTTGGACATTCGCGACGCATGTAGTTAAATTTCAAGTGTCCGGCTATTTGAAATAGTAACAACACACAATAAAATTCGGTTGAGAGATTGTTTCAAGGCCCAAACTCTTAGGAAAGTGTTAAGTGAGTAAATTTATTAGAAAGAAAAAGTTTAGTAAAAGCAACAGAATGCTCTTAGGGCATATAAAATCTGTAATTCTAGTAACAGACATCAACTGGAACTATCGGAATTGAATGGAAAGTTATACGGGAAAACTGCTGTTTTTGCAGCATCTACAATTACCTCACAATTTATAGGGTGCACCTTGGATGCAT